ACCAACAACACCACCATCAATCCCGCCCCACAAGCCAAAGTCCTTGGCGTCATTCTGGACTCAAACCTTTCCTTCCAACCTCATGTCAAATCACTTACAAACACATGCAGGCTCCACCTCCGCAACATTCCCAAGATACGCACCTTCCTTACCCCAGACACCACTAAACTACTAGTACACTCCCTGATTATCTCACGTCTGGACTACTGCAACTCCCTCCTCACCGGCCTACCCCAGTGCAGGCTCTCCCCGCTTCAGACCATCCTGAACTCAGCGGCCAGACTCATCCACCTCACCAACCGCTCCACCTCTGCCACCCCCCTCTGCCTATCCTTCCACTGGTTCCCGATTGCCCAATGCATCAAATTCAAACTACTCACTCTGACCTACAAAGCCATTCACAACACTGCCCCTAACTACCTCACCAACCTGATTCCCAGGTACCACCCTATCCCTACCCTTCGCTCTTCACAGGTTCTCCTTCTATCTTGTTCCCTGGTCTCCTCCTCCCAACGCACGACTGCAAGACTTCTCCAGGTCCTCCCCATCCTCTGGAACTCACTACCCCAATCCATCAGACTCCCACCTTCCCTCCTCACCTTCAGGCGCTCCCTGAATACCCAACTCTTCAGGGAAGCCTACCCCACCCTAACCTAACGGCCGTTCTCCTTCATTCCTCCTACTACTCCATCCCCCACAGCCACTTCCTCCTGTACTACTACCCCCTCCCTCCTAGATTGTAAGCTCGAAAGAGTAGGGCCCTCAAACCCCTCGTGTGCTGTTGTAGCTGCTGTACTGTTTCATGTATTGCCCCCCCCCCCCCCCCCCCCCTCTATTGTACAGCGCTGAGCAAATCCTTTGGCGCTATATAAACTCAATGTAATAATAATAATAATTCTGTAATTTCTGATGTTTTCTATCTTGGAGATATAAAGGTTCTCATTAATACATTGAATATTGCCTGCTAGTGGGAGCCGGAAAATAAACCGCCCGATCGCATTGTATATCTTCCCCGATACAGAAGTCAGTATTTCCCATCCTATGGAGGGCGATCCTATAGTATCCAGGAATATAGATCTATGGGGGTCATGGGGGGGACAGGTTCGCTTTGTGTTTGATGACATATGTAGGACTATGCACAGAGCAGGCTCATGTCTGGAGACGTGTATACAGGGGGATGCTGCTGGGGGATGGGGAACATTGTCAGTATACAGGGGGATGTTGCTGGGGGAGGGGGGACATTGTCAGTATACAGGGGGATGCTGCTGGGGAATGGGTGACATTGTCAGTATACATGGGGATGCTGCTGGGGGATGGGTGACATTGTCAGTATACAGAGGGATGCTGCTGGGGGAGGGGTGACATTGTAAGTAGAGATGAGCGAAGAAATGAAAAATTTGATTCGACTTATTTGGCCAGTCACGGGGCCAAAACCAGTGTTTGGAGCCACAGTGTGGCGGTGGAGGCAGCAGCAATGGGAGGCCATACAGCAACCTATGACAAAATGGAAACCAGCAGGAGTGTGAGGAGACCTGAAAGTGGCACATGGCAGAGTGGGAGCAATGGGAGGCGGTACAGGGACCCAGGTCACACTGTGGGCCCAGCAGCAGCGTGACCAGGCGGTACGGGGGCCCATGGCAGATTTGGGGCCTGGCAGCACCTATGGGAGGCCTGTAACCTGCCAGCCCTATGACAAAATGGAAAACCGCAGGAGTGTGAGGAGACCTCAAAGTGGCACATGGCAGAGTGGGAGCAATGGGAGGCGGTACAGGGACCCAGGTCACACTGTGGGACCAGCATCAGCGTGAACAGGCGGTACGGGGGCCCATGGCCGATTTGACCTCGTTCATCCCATAGTCCTGCCGACTCACGAATAGCGTGGCCTCCTCAAAGGGCCTGAGCAAGCGCAGGTGTCACGCATGAGCTGACAATGGCTGACATCTAAGTTACACAGGGAGTACCTTTATCCGCTTTTAACATCAGGAAATCTGTGATGGCCTTTCGCTGTTCGTAAAGGCGGTCTAACATATGTAGTGTTGAATTCCACCTTGTTGCAACGTCACAGCATGAGGAGTCGGTACGGGGGCCCATGGCAGATTACGTGCCTGGCAGCAGCAATGGGAGGCCCGTAATCTGCCAGCACCCTATGTCAAAAAATTGAACACACCAGCAGTGTGAGGAGACCTCAAAGTGGCACATGGCAGAGTGGGAGCAATGGGAGGCGGTACAGGGACCCAGGTCACACTGTGGGCTCAGCAGCAGCGTGACCAGGCGGTACGGGGGCCCATGGCCGATTTGGGGCCTGGTGGCACCTATGGAAGGCCTGTAATCTGCCAGCAACCTATGACAAAATGGACAACCGCAGGAGTGTGTGAGGAGATTTCAAAGTGGCACATGGCAGAGTGGAAGCAATGGGAGGCCGTACAGGGACCCAGGTCACACTGTGGGCTCAGCAGCAGCGTGACCAGGCGGTACGGGGGCCCATGGCCGATTTGGGGCCCGGCACCTATGGGAGGCCTGTAATCTGCCAGCACCCTATGACAAAATGGAACCCTGGGCTGGGGCAGGCAGAACCGCCGTATCTTTATCACGGTTTTCCCAGGCCACCGAATGGCGACGCTGCATATGCTGACGCAACGCTGTAGTCCCAACATGGGCCTACTGGCCCACGCTTGACTTTCTGGCCACATAGTCGACATACGGCTACGTTTACTTCCTCGGGCGGCTTGACGAAAAATTGCCACACCGCAGAGTAGGAAACTTTGCCTCCGCTACTCCTCACTGGCTGACTGCTACTTCCTCCGTGCACACCGGCACCACTACTGGCCGTGGTGGTAGGCTGCAGTGGAGCTGGGTGCTCTACTACTCCGTGGCCGTTTGCCTCCACTGACACTGCTGCGACCCTGCTGCCTCCTGGCAGCAGCAATGGGAGGCCGTACAGGGACCCATGAGAGACTCTGGACTTGGCAGCAGCATGAGGAGGCGGTATATAGGGGCCCATGGCAGATTAGGGGCCTGGCAGCAGCTATAGGAGGCCCGTAATCTGCCAGCACCCTATGTCAAAAAATTCAACACACCAGCAGTGTGAGGAGACCTGAAAGTGGCACATGGCAGAGTGTGGCGATGGAGACAGACAGCAGCAGCAATGGGAGGCCGTACAGGGACCCATGAGAGAGACTCTGGACTTGGCAGCAGCATGAGGAGGCGGTATATAGGGGCCCATGGCAGATTAGGGGCCTGGCAGCAGCTATAGGAGGCCCGTAATCTGCCAGCACCCTATGTCAAAAAATTCAACACACCCAGCAGTGTGAGGAGACCTGAAAGTGGCACATGGCAGAGTGTGGCGATGGAGACAGCAGCAATGGGAGGCCGTACAGGGACCCATGAGAGACTCTGGACCTGGCAGCAGCATGAGGAGGCGGTATATAGGGGCCCATGGCAGATTAGGGGCCTGGCAGCAGCTATAGGAGGCCCGTAATCTGCCAGCACCCTATGTCAAAAAATTCAACACACCAGCAGTGTGAGGAGACCTGAAAGTGGCACATGGCAGAGTGTGGCGATGGAGACAGCAGCAATGGGAGGCCGTACAGGGACCCATGAGAGACTCTGGACCTGGCAGCAGCATGAGGAGGCGGTATATAGGGGCCATGGCAGATTAGGGGCCTGGCAGCAGCTATAGGAGGCCCGTAATCTGCCAGCACCCTATGTCAAAAAATTCTACACACCACCAGCAGTGTGAGGAGACCTGAAAGTGGCACATGGCAGAGTGTGGCGATGGAGACAGCAGCAGCAATGGGAGGCCGTACAGGGACCCATGAGAGACTCTGGACCTGGCAGCAGCATGAGGAGGGTATATAGGGGCCCATGGCAGATTAGGGGCCTGGCAGCAGCTATAGGAGCCCGTAATCTGCCAGCACCCTATGTCAAAAAATTCAACACACCAGCAGTGTGTGAGGAGACCTGAAAGTGGCACATGGCAGAGTGTGGCGATGGAGACACAGCAGCAATGGGAGGCCGTATAGGGACCCATGAGAGACTCTGGACCTGGCAGCAGCATGAGGAGGCGGGTATATAGGGGCCCATGGCAGATTAGGGGCCTGGCAGCAGCTATAGGAGGCCCGTAATCTGCCAGCACCCTATGTCAAAAAATTCAACACACCAGCAGTGTGAGGAGACCTGAAAGTGGCACATGGCAGAGTGTGGCGATGGAGACAGCAGCAATGGGAGGCCGTACAGGGACCCATGAGAGACTCTGGACCTGGCAGCAGCATGAGGAGGCGGTATATAGGGGCCCATGGCAGATTAGGGGCCTGGCAGCAGCTATAGGAGGCCCGTAATCTGCCAGCACCCTATGTCAAAAAATTCTACACACCAGCAGTGTGAGGAGACCTGAAAGTGGCACACATGGCAGAGTGTGGCGATGGAGACAGCAGCAATGGGAGGCCGTACAGGGACCCATGAGAGACTCTGGACCTGGCAGCAGCATGAGGAGGCGGTATATAGGGGCCCATGGCAGATTAGGGGCCTGGCAGCAGCTATAGGAGGCCCGTAATCTGCCAGCACCCTATGTCAAAAAATTCTAACACACCAGCAGTGTGTGAGGAGACCTGAAAGTGGCACATGGCAGAGTGTGGCGATGGAGACAGCAGCAATGGGAGGCCGTACAGGGACCCATGAGAGACTCTGGACCTTGGCAGCAGCATGAGGAGGCGGTATATAGGGGCCCATGGCAGATTAGGGGCCTGGCAGCAGCTATAGGAGGCCCGTAATCTGCCAGCACCCTATGTCAAAAAAAATTCAACACACCAGCAGTGTGAGGAGACCTGAAAGTGGCACATGGCAGAGTGTGGCGATGGAGACAGCAGCAATGGGAGGCGTACAGGGACCCATGAGAGACTCTGGACCTGGCAGCAGCATGAGGAGGGCGGTATATAGGGGCCCATGGCAGATTAGGGGCCTGGCAGCAGCTATAGGAGGCCCGTAATCTGCCAGCACCCTATGTCAAAAAAATTCAACACACCAGCAGTGTGTGAGGAGACCTGAAAGTGGCACATGGCAGAGTGTGGCGATGGAGACAGCAGCAATGGGAGGCCGTACAGGGACCCATGAGAGACTCTGGACCTGGCAGCAGCATGAGGAGGCGGTATATAGGGGCCCATGGCAGATTAGGGGCCTGGCAGCAGCTATGGGAGGCCCGTAATCTGCCAGCACCCTATGACAAAAAATGGAACACACCAGTGTGTGTGAGGAGACCTGAAAGTGGCACATGTTTGGGGCATGATTCATGGCGGATTTAGTCAGTTGTGTCAGGAACTGGTGGTTTGAAATCCTGGCACTAATCCACGCCTGATTCATTTTCACAAACGTGAGTCTCTCCACACTTTGGGTGGACAGTCGTGTCCTCCGCGGAGTTACAATACCTCCTACGCACACTAAACACGCGCTCCGATGCCACGCTACTGGCCGGGCATGACAGCCTTTCAAGGGCAAATTCAGCTAGTTGGGGGCCAAAGGTCAAGTTTCGTTGCCCAGTAGTCAAGGGGATGATTGTCTACCTCGGTTGGCAGGGTGCTGTCCAAGTAGGCCCAAGCCTGTTGTTTGAGGTCCTGCTCCAGGTCCACTGATGATGCTGCTGCTGCTGCTGCTGCTGCGGCTGGTTAGTAGTTTTCCCTCACTGCGCTGGTGAAGAAAGCTACTCATCATCGACTGCAGACTGAGGCAGCCGCTGCTGGTGGAGCTGCCCTGCTCCTACTACCCCACCCCTCCCCTGCTGCCATGGCAGCGGAACGCGAGCGCACAGGGCCCACAGTGTCTGAGGATGGACGTTGGCGCACAAAGGCAGAGACCAACTGACTACATAGGTGGTTTTTTTATAGTACGTTATTTTGGCCTCCCTCTCAGCAGGTGTGAGAAAAAGGCCACCATTTTTGAACGGTAGCGAGGGTCCAACAAGGTGGACAGCCAAAAGTCATCCCTCTGTCTGATGGTTATTATTCGGCTGTCGCTACGCAAGCAACCGAGCATGCTATGGGCCATTTGTGCCAAGGAATGCGAGGGACTCCCTGCCTCCATCTCCACAGCATACTGCCACGGTGCGTCTGGGTCCTCTGTCTCCTCCTCCTCCTCCTCTACCAGATGCTCCTGCTCCTCCACTCCTGTCCGCTGAGTGGAAAAACCACCCATTTCACTCAATAATTCCTGAGCACAAATGTCCTCCTCTACCTCCTCCTCTTCTTCCTGTCCTGCCCCCACAGGGGTCATGTGGCGTTGAGATCTGTGCGCCACGTCTACCGCACCCTGACCAGCCATTGTTAACAGCATTTCAACACAAGGACGTGCAACAGAGGAATGACGTCGTTCATCCCATAGTCCTGCCGACTCACAATAGCGTGGCCTCCTCAAGGGACCCTGAGCAAGCGGCAGGTGTCACGCATGAGCTGCCAATAGGGGCTGACATCGAAGTTACACAGGGGAGTACCTTTATCCGCTTGTAACATCAGGAAATCGATGATGGCCTTTCGCTGCTCGTAAAGGCGGTCTAACATGTGTAGGGTTGAATTCCACCTTGTTGCAACGTCGCAGATCAGTATCAGGGCCCGATGCTGTGGAATTCCGTTCTGCCGCTGCAGCTCAAGGAGGGTGTGCTTTGCGGTGTAGGAATGGCTGAAATGCATGCAAAGTTTACGTGACATTTTAAGGATGTACTTGCATGTGGGATGGTGGATTTTAGGAACCGCTTGACAACCAGATTGAACACGTGAGGCCCATGCATAGGGGCCATGGCACAACCTTGGGACGCAGTAATCTGCAGACACCATGTCTTTCCGTTGTCGGTCAACATGGTTCCGATTTTCAGTTACCTGAAAGAGCACAGCCATCTGTCGATTTCTCTGTTCATTACACTGAGAAGGCCTCCCCTGTGTGACTACGTTCGCCTGGACCTGGCAGCAGCATGAGGAGGCGGTATAGGGGCCCATGGCAGATTAGGGGCCTGGCAGCAGCTATGGGAGGCCCGTAATCTGCCAGCACCCTATGTCAAAAAATTCAACACACCAGCAGTGTGTGAGGAGACCTGAAAGTGGCACATGGCAGAGTGTGGCGATGGAGGGATGGAGACAGCAGCAATGGGAGGCCGTACAGGGACCCATGAGAGACTCTGGACTTGGCAGCAGCATGAGGAGGCGGTATATAGGGGCCCATGGCAGATTAGGGGCCTGGGCAGCAGCTATGGGAGGCCCGTAATCTGCCAGCACCCTATGTCAAAAAATTCAACACACCAGCAGTGTGAGGAGACCTGAAAGTGGCACATGGCATGAGAGACTGTGGACCTGGCAGCAGCATGAGGAGGCGGTATAGGGGCCCATGGCAGATTAGGGGCCTGGCAGCAGCTATGGGAGGCCCGTAATCTGCCAGCACCCTATGTCAAAAAATTCAACACACCAGCAGTGTGTGAGGAGACCTGAAAGTGGCACATGGCAGAGTGTGGCGATGGAGACAACCCACCGACTGTTTTGCTCGCTGCCAAGCTGCCACCCCTCTTCTCCTGATGATGCGGAAGCAATAGCCTGATGACGACGAGGCTGCCAAGTGCGATCAGCCTCATCATCATCAATTAGGGTCTCCGCCTCACTACTAGCCCCCTCGGCTGCGTGTGGGTCAGGAGACAGACCTGTCTCTACACCGGCTACCGAGCCACTCTCCTCGCCACTACTTCTTCGCCTGGCTGCTGAAGAGGCGGATGTCTCCCCCCGTTCCTGACCGCCCTCTGTTAGCTCTTCCTCACTGTACTGGATGACACCGGGAGAGCACTAGCCTCTGGCTGCGAATAGTGCTGCCTCGACCCCTTCCTCTGCTGCCACGTCTGCTCGCTCCTAAAACATTGCCTCCTCTGCCACTCCTCTGCATGTTGTCTGACATACTCTTTAATTAAACGATTCTGTGTCCCTGAGTAACAATTCTGTGGCCCTAAGTAACGGTTCTGTGGCCCTCAGTAACAGTTCTGTGTCCCTGAGTAACAATTCTGTGTCTGTGCGAGTAACAATTCTGTGGCCCTAAGTAACAGTTCTGTGGCCCTCAGTAACAATTCTGTGGCCCTAAGTAACGGTTCTGTGGCCCTCAGTAACAATTCTGTGTCCCTGTGTAACAATTCTGTGTCTGTGCGAGTAACAATTCTGTGGCCCTAGTAACAGTTCTGTGGCCCTCAGTAACAGATTCTGTGTCCCTGAGTAACAATTCTGTGTCTGTGCGAGTAACAATTCTGTGTGGCCCTAAGTAACAGTTCTGTGGCCCTCAGTAACAATTCTGTGGCCCTAAGTAACAGTTCTGTGGCCCTGAGTAACAATTCTGTGTAACAATTCTGCTGCCCTAAGTAACAATTCTGTGTCTGTGTGCTGAGTAACAATTCTGTGGCCCTAAGTAACAGTTCTGTGTCCCTCAGTAACATTCTGTGTCCCTGAGTAACAATTCGTGTCCCTGTGTAACAATTCTGTGTCTGTCCCGAGTAACAATTCTGTGGCCCTAAGTAACGTTTCTGTGCCCTCATGTAACAATTCTGTGTCCCTGAGTAACAATTCTGTGTCTGTGCTGAGTAACAATTCTGTGGACCCCTAAGTAACAGTTTCTGTGGCCCTCAGTAACAATTCTGTTCCTGTCCCTGAGTAACAATTCTGTGCCCTAACTAACGGTTTCTGTGGCCCTAAGTAACAGTTCTGTGGCCCTCAGTAACAATTCTGTCTGTCCCTGAGTAACAATTCTGTGGCCCTAACTAAAGTTTCTGTGGCCCTAAGTTAACAATTCTGTGTCCCTCAGTAACAAATTCTGTCCTGTCCTGTGCGAGTAACAATTCTGTGGCCCTAAGGAAACAGTTAACGAGTCTGGGGCCCTCAATAACAATTCTGGTGTCCCTGAGTAATGGAACTCTGTCCCTAAGTAACGTTGTTCTCTGTCCCTAAGTAATCGTTTCTGTGGCCCGAAACTCTGTCCCTTCAATCATTACAGAGCGGCATTCCCTCAGCCTCTTTCAATGACAAGCATGCAATGAAGAAATTCACCTAAATGGCCGCTATTTATAGCTCGACCATACACAATGCAGGCTGGCTGGCTGTCTGCTTGGCTATGCGATCACATTCATTGAGGAATGTCATTATGGTCGAGCGCGCCTTGTCTGCGCAGCCTTCCCAACATCCTCGCTCCGTCGCCTGCCACATTGTCCGCCGCTGCCATTTCGGAAAATTATACTCGATTCGCGCTAGTCCGAATTAGGCTAATTTTCGAATTGCGTCTCGAATACGAAATTTTTCCGATATTCGACCTCGAATTCCACTTCGCTACTTCATTCGCTCATCACTATGATCATGTATCATAGTTTTAAGTGTAATGTGAAACAATTTGAACAAAATAAGAAAAATTTACAAAATCATGTGTCCATTTCATTGGGGGGATGTTGCTCTTCTTATGTGTATTTTCTGGTTGCTTTTGAGTGCAATTTATAGGCAGGCAAGAGTTAATGAGCAACGTGAATATGTTAAAGAGACAATAAACCTGTTTTGCCCTATTTCCCTTTTTAGGTATATGTAACTGTATTTACTACGATTAGAGAAGCATCAATAGCTGTAAAATAACAGCAAAAAAAGCTAAAATTATTCATGGTGCTGTGTTGACTAAAACACTGAACAAATATATCTGGCTGTTTTATTTCTGTTTGTAAACAACAGTCGGCAATCCTTTAACCACTTGCCCTCCAGAAGAGCGCGAATATACCCCCTTCTGACCAGGCCATTTGTTTTTTTGCAATATGGTGCAGCGTTTATTTAACTTGCCAATTGCACAGTCATGCAACACTGGACATTATT